GGTCGTCTGTCCCACCTCGTGGGTTTTCTCCGGGTCCTCCGGTTTCCTCCGACTGCTAAAGACCCCTACGCGCAAGCAAATTATTGAAATAAAATTGAACCATGTGTTAGTCCCGAAATGACCTAGTTTGAGTGTGTGTGTGTGGGGGGGGGGGCTCTCCTCTCACTCTCTCTCTATCTCTCCCCCCTCTCTCTCTCTCTCTCTCTTCGGTGTCTTGAAATGAATTTTTCTTACTACAAGAGGTATTCAAAATCCACGAGGGACCATAAACGCGTTGACCTCATTCAACCAAACATGCAAGTAATATGGGAATTAAATGGGCAATCCCGATTTGCACAGTGTCTCTTTAAAGGAGCTAAATCGCTAATATCTGGGACCTACAAGTTGACACAAATGGGTCGCAACGTATATAATAATGTAATATGAATGTAAATAAACTGATTTACGTTCAATCGTTTCCGTTTTTACTCTAATTTCAAAGCAGTTAAGTTTGGCGAAATACGCCAGAAGTCCCAATCGTATGGCAATCTCTTGGGTCTGGTTATTCCAGTCTATACCGACAGTATTTATTGCGCATGCTCTCCAGATAAGAATATCCGGTCACCGTTTGACATGACTTCTGGAATATGTTTAACCTCGTTCTTCGAGTCGCTTGTTATAAATGGCGCTGAAACGCATTATGGGACACGATTCGTGTACCAATGGTAAAATGTTTTTTTTTGTCTTAAATATTGGATATCATAAGCGCATCTTTTCCCCGTAAGATCACAACACCAATGTTGATTAAAATTGACAATTAATTCGTGTTTTCAATGTCGAAGGTTTTGGATGATATTGAGTTAGAGACTTAGCTACTTTAAGTATGCCATTTAAACGCCAAAATATAGCGTGTCTGAAAATTACAACCATACGGATGTGAACTCCAAAACCGCAAAACTGAGTTAAACATACATTACGCAAGCGACAAATTTGCCTATTGCAGGTCTTTCTTTAAGCCTGAAATGTTATCTAAATTAATAATTAGACATTGATCAATTTATCCAGACCATAATCAACTCTCGATGTCAACGATCGCCTGCGATATTTACTGGATTAGAATCCGATATGCTGCTCAACGCTCATTGATAATTAAATCAAAAAGTGGATAATCGCGACTATCGTACCGACTTTAGCAATGATGATGGAGGCTAGGCCCTAAAATTCAATCTCTAAATTCTCGGTTTCGAGGGGATCAATTTGACTGAAATTTTCAGCAAATTCCCTTTACATTATCAATTTGTTATAGTGAGAACTGCTAGCTCTTTATCTGATCTCCCATAATGTATCTTTAAGTGATCTTTTAAAGTCACAAGACTTTTTATTTGAGACACCAATACAATGAGTTGAATCATCTTTTATGAAGGCTTTTATGTCTGCTATATAGACACCTTTGATAATAATAAGACTCGATACAAACATAATAATGTAGTAATAATAATAAGATCCTTTAGAAATACATACAACCATTCATATTAGTATCTATTAATAGCAATAGAATAGAATTACAAACAATAGAATAGAATGGGTATAGCTAAATAACGTGTCGTTAAATATCAATTTAATGGTTAAACTAACAATTCTAAATCCTTTACAATTTGATCTGTTCTATGTTATTTCTATATGCAAGTCATGAGCACCTCTACTTTGTTTGGACATGCTTTCTTGTAGATCCATGCTAAACAGTTGATATTAAATAATATTTTACTATATTTAATCATCTGATAAACAGTTGATGTTAAATAATATTTTACTATATTTAATTACCTAATAAACAGTTAAATAATATTTTACTATATTTAATTATCTGATAAACATTTGATGTTAAATAATGTTTTACTATATTTATTTATCTGATAAACATTTGATGTTAAATAATATTTTACTATATTTAATCATCTGATAAACAGTTGATGTTTTACCATGTTTAATTATACAACAAACAGTTCAGTTTGAATATTTTACGTTTAAACAGTTGGGTTTAAATAATGTTTTACTGAATTATTTAAAATAGGTCATAAGTATCATCAGCCTTGGATATCTACGTGTATTTTGGGTAGAGGTGCCATGGTGATGCTTTCAATACTAGCAAACTGTATCACGAAATGATAACACACTGTAAAAACTAATTATGCATAAAAGGTCATAATGAATTCTAGCTGTAGATTTACCTGATTTTTGTTTCTGTAATTCTTATTATGTTTCGTGTAACAGACCATTTCTTTTAATGGGTATAATTACAGAAACAAAATCTGGTAAATCTGCTGCAAGAAGTTTTTCTATTCTTTAGCTTCTGTAATACATCATCTAAATTATGTTTCGTGTAACAGACCATTTCTTGTAATGGGTAAAATTACAGAAACAAAATCTGGTAAATCTGCTGAACATTAAAACTGAACAGAAATCAAGAGCAAAAAATTTTGTGATTTCTGAAACTCGGTTTATTACTTTCTGTGGCATTTTAAATCTTCAACACTAATCTGAGGAAAAATGATGGAGTACATAAAAAAATATGAACATTTGTAAAGTTTGACGGTCGTAAACGTGTTTTCCTAGCGCGAATCGTGATAGTGGGAAACTAGCGTTAAGGTCTTTTGTATTAAGATCTTCTATTTCAATCGTAACATGTTACTGGTTTGCACGAATAAAATGAATACTCATATCTTTTATGCTCCTTAACGCCGTCACATGTGTGAATATAAAATAGATATTTGAGTAACGGCCTTGTTGAATAAGTAGGTCAACTATAATATATTATATAAAGAAGACCGTGTGTGAGATTGTATATGTATGTATAAGATCAACGATAAATATGTGGTTGGTGTAATTCATTATTTATACATTTGGATCATGACGTGACTTAAATTTTTAATAACAAGACCCCTTATATGAAGGATGTCTCACGTTTCACCGGTGTCCTCTTACCAAGATAAGTCTACAAATATCAGATAAATTTATACATAAAATGGTCCCGTGATACATAAGCGTACGGGCTCAATGAATATTTGAAAAATTTAACAGCAGCGAACACCTTTTCCTGCTATTCCAACTCTTGAATACGACAACTTCAATGGGGTCCAATATAACCTACCCTAGGTGACTTAACCTGAATCCTAAATCCCAAACAACCAATCAAATCGTTATGGGGTGTGGGTGCCTCGATTTCCCCGAGATAATTTTGAAAATTTAACCGCCGCTAATGCGTTGTTCTGCTATTCTAGCCCGTAAAGACAGCAACTTCAAAGTTCCAATCGGTTTACAACGGAAATTCCACTCTATGCCGACCTGAATTCTAACCATCCAATCAAACCGTTGTAGCTGCATTCACAAATAATAATCGATGCCCGAAAAATGTCGCACGAAATGCTTCAATCCATGGCAAATTCAGTACAAATTCGTTGTATTCTATTAAAAGAAAAGTAAAATTAGTGTTTTATTAGATTTCTGGCACTTTAGTTTGCCAACTAGATGAAATAGTATTTTTTGTTTTCACTTTACCCGTGTGCCAAAAAAGCCAGATTGCCCGAATGTTAGGGCAAAGTTAATAGTTTAAATGGTGTTTATCCCTACTAGACAGGTGGGTTCGGTTAGCCTATAATTTCTGTATCTAAAACTGTTAGAGCTGATTTGTGCTTCGCCAAAAACACGTATTTTAAAATCAATCCCGATGTTCGGCCCAGATATATCAGCACCAAGACTGATAATAACCCAATGATTATATCAGTCATCATCAGACCAGCGTTGAAATAAAAATACACTCACTAATTGTGATTTGTTTGTATGTTCCAGGTGTGTGTTTCATTATGTCATGGTTAAACTTCATTTTCATAGACTAAAGTTCGAACTGTAGAGGTATTTGGCTCTGCGAAGGCATTCTAGTGCCCAGGAAATATCCATTCGTAGTGAGTCGCAGTTATACTGTGCATTTTTTATACTAGAAATTTGAACAATTGTGATTGAGTGCTATGTAAGGAACATACCTATCCAGTTTGGTTCAAACACGAGAGCAACAGGGTTCGATCCCGGTTTTGGTTGAGAAATATCCTCGGGATTTTCCTGAGTGGTTTCCCCTTGTCAGTTGTGCATTATGACGGGATGTCAAGGATCAATGTCTAGTCTTACGGATGATACGTAAAACCAAAGTCATGTATACGAAAAAGAACCATAGGCAGCTAGAATTCGAAATACACGTGGGCCATAGCGCCGCTATCGGGGGCAACGTTTCTCCTCAGGGAACGCTACATGGGGTATGCCCACCTTCATTAGCCCGGTGTAGAAAAGTAGGAGGTTAAACCCCATTTCATTTTGTAGCTCAAATACACCAAGCTATTGATGGTCGATCAACGTAATTCTGAAGAGAATTATCAAAGCGACACCGGGTACACTTACTAATTGCTGTTGACATCCATTAATAGGTTTAGGACAAGAAGCCTAAAATGTGTGACAATGTCTACACTTGTCTCTTTAAAGTGTCCCGAGACCGACCAGCTTCTGATGCGGCAGATCATGTGAACAATTCTTAATAAATGAAATGGGGTTTAACGTCCTACTGTTCTGATCCGACGGCCGACTCTTATCTCGAATTACAGGGGACCTCGGTTTTTCGTCCCATCACTTTTAGGATTCTAAAAGGGGGGGGGGGGAGAGACATGTGGTTTAACGTCCACTCGGCACAAACTGTGTCATTTCGGGACTAGCACATGGTTCAATTTTATTTGAATAATTCGTTTGCGCGAATGGGTCTTTAGCCGTGGGATGAAACCGGAGGACCCGGAGAAAACCTACGAGATTGGACAGGCGACCCACTCCTTGTAGCATACAACCGGGGAATGAAACCACGCCAGTTGACTCAATGACAGACCTTATGACACAACGCGCACGCTAACCATGAATTGGTCCTCGCACTCGGGGGATGATGGGGTGGGGATGGGGTGGGGTGGATAAGGCAGAACAACAAACATATATAATGAAATTAAAACATTTATGAATATAAAATAAAAACAATTAATATGAACAATTCTACAATAATGGAGTAGATCTACCAATTTACTCTGCTATAATAGTTCAAACATTGGTAATAGAAACATGAATATATTGAAAATTTCCGTCAAATTACTTAATTCTGAGTGAAGTTATGAGTGTTTGAAGGTTTTGTTATAATGTATCTTTGTATGTAATATATTAATATTTAATTTTAGTCATAGAAATTGATCAACGTTCAAATTGATATAAAGTCTGTTTGAGTTTATACTTAATGTAACCATACATATTACGTAATTGTAGTTAACACGCTTTCTACCTCTTACTATGTCCATATCATTTCCTATGTTTATACATCTGTTTCTTACGTGCAATTTAACATTTTATCAATTAAAATCATTTTAATCCTAAACTTGTTTATATGTTCATTTTCTCGCGTGGTTTCCCATTGTCAGATGTTCAAGTCAGAGGGCCTGACAAGGACAGCTGCCTGGTCGTTCGGATGAGACTAAAAACCGAGGTCCCGCGTACACATTGGCGTGCACGTAAAAAATCCCTTGGCAGTTGGAATTCTATATAAGAGTAAGCTGTAATTCCGCTGTTTGGGCAAAATTTCCCACATAGCACACTGTATGTCGTAAGCCGGTCTTCATTAGCCCAGTCGGAGCAGAATAGTAGGACGTTAAACCCCATCTCATTTCATATGTTTACGTGTTCTATATTCTTCTGTAACATTGGACAGGTGTCCTGCTCTCCCTACCTATCTCGTTATTGTTACCGTTAGCCAGTTTTATACACTCGTTTATTAAAAGTACAATTTTAATTATTGATCTGAGTTCTCGTCGTTAGTGTTGGAATAAGCTACAACCCCCTGAAAACAGTACTACGGACCTTTTAATAGTCTCGTTTGTCATGTACCGTTACTACGATAATAAACAAAGTCTTGATTAACCATATTAATATAAACGTAAAGTTATTAAATTGGGTGATTGTTCCAAGTCATTCAATGTCAAGGCCAACCGATGATCTAGAGAGTTCATTATGGGCGTGGCATGTTTATATATGCCTAATTAATATTTATGATTATATATACCTAATTAATATTTTATATAACGTTTGTAGCCAACAAAAGATCCACAATAGGCAGATAAAGATATTGTATAATGCATATTTTACTTATTTAACTTAATAAGAAGTGATATTAAATGTTCTAGAAAGTCTAAGTATAACTCACCGTGTACACGACACTTATAGTTATACGCATTGTTCCCTCCTAATCGCCGAAACACATTTTGGACCAAATATACCCGAATCGTGCACATAAACAATTCCGCATGTAAACACAGGGCATTTGTACAAATATCCTGCCCACATAATGTTGCCACAAAATAAAATTTGCACACATGACACAATAAACACAAACACCTCAAACTACGTACGGATCAGTTGTAAGTTACATTTACAATAACATGTAACATATTGTTTATGACGTAGTAATGTTTACTATATAACTGTTATTGTTTATTATATGTCTTCAATATCGTTCTTTATCAGTGATGTGTACAGTAACTTGTACAGTAAACGTCATGTTGTCATCAATATAACCATTCTTTTTACCCCATTCTATAAATACACCAGCGTATACATCATCAGGTATACGTGTACCTGTATCTTGTTTAACTAGTGATTTACTCTCATCATTGATATTTAACAGGTTTACTGTATAACTACCTGTAATAGTTTTAATAGTTTTATCTTCTGCTTCGTTCCATGTCAGACCAATATATAATAATGATGAATCATTTAAAACACTTACACGCCATGATAATCCTTGTATTATTGCAACACCACTATAGCACCGCCTACTTATCCGCAGCTGGTTCAAACTAAAACTACAGGTAAATGTTTGTACTTGTACTTCACCAAGTAGTCGTTTTAAACAATCTACCTCCACCATAGAATAATATGGATGTCTGACTACAGATTCATGTAAATTTGTTGATATCTTTTGATCTGTTTTGGTTTGAACATCTGTTAATCCATGTCTATCTACAGCGGTAATTATAGATCTTTGTTGTAATATACGATCAGAATATTCACACCATTCTTTCATTGTAGATGTCATCTTGTTATCATCTTCTACTAGTTTGGTGAGTTTTTTGTTTTCATCTTCACCAATTTTATTGATGTCATCTTTAATTGTTCCTCCAATTTTCCTGACTTTTTCACAAATATTGTCTATTTGTTTCTGAACTTTATCACAAGCTGTCTTACACGAGTTGTTCATGTCAGATATTTTGGTCTTCAGAAAGTCAGAATGTTTCTGTAACTGTTTTATTTTCTTTTCTGATTCAGTTTTCAGTTTCATGACAATTTCTCTCATTTCCTGGTCTACGTCATCTATATCCGCCAATACATGCCCTGTATGATCCACTATAACACACACAGAACAACATGGTTTACGACAATCTCGACAGTAAACTTGTATTTCTTTCTTCTTGTGTTTTATACAATACTGTCTATCATCATCATCGTCTTCTAGATAAAAGTTGGTGACAAACTGACTGGCACCACTTGATGGTACCTCAGTTTGTTGCCGGCATGTTGGACAGTTAAACTTGTTGAAATGAGCATGAGCCTTAATAAGATCATCTATACATTGTTGACAGAAAGTGTGATGACATGGCAGTAATTTAGGTTTAGTAAAGTTATTTAAACAAATAGAACATGTATTTTTAGTGGCCATCTTGGTTCACGTTATACTATACTATACCATATACCAGAGCGGTAGTGTTATTACAACCCTGTCTAAACCCTATATAATATAACAGAGCTGTGGTGTTATAACAACCCTGTCTAAACCCTATATAATATAACAGAGCTGTAGTGTTATAACATCCCTGTCTAATCCATGATATGATTATATTGATTGATACTGTTTACACGATATCTGATAAACCAGTTCATCTCCACGTTATGCTATACAATAAAACAGAGCTGGCGTGTTATTCAACCCTTTCTAAACCATGATCTGACTGACTCGCGTGTTACTTGGTCGTTTAAATTATGACAATAATGCAGCCAGTAATACAATATATTCACGGCATGTGATAAACCTGTTTTACTGGTGTTGAATAAGTTGTGGGTGTGTTTGAAATACCTCTGATTGACATAGTTTCACGATACGTCTATACATGGTAATATATTAAATAATAAACTAGGTGTATAAAATCCCGCTTGGTTTACCGTTGACATTGAGATCTCGTCGTGTCTCGCGCGAGCGGCAGAGAATCTTCATATGAGCACCTCGTCGTCATGACAACAAACAGCAAGTTATATAACTTTGAGTACATTCCCCCAATAATGCATACTCCTCGCAGTGTTTCCTTTGATTATACATATTCCCACTAAACACTGCTTTAACGAAGGCAAAGTTCTGTTCCAAATTTTGACTGGTCAATGGTCCGATTAACAACCAATAGCTAAATGCGTTACAAAAACGTTACGCTTAAAACAGAGCTCCAAATTGGACCAAATATGTTTATATAACGTTACGTCATGACGCACGATTTTATTAAGCCCAATTAACCGGTGCATAACAGAATATTACAGAAAAACTAATTGCCTGACAAACGAGGCAATCAAATCGAAAACAATGTAAACAATAATGTTTGGAGACGAACATACTTTCACCGTTTTTAATACCTTAAATCACTGTCTAAAGTTTTAGAGAAGACGCAGATTAAACGAAGGACTGTCAGGTTGCTGTACCTGGGATAGATTTGATTGAACGGGAAGAATAGACAAACTCCCTCAAAAGCTCAAGTATCAGAAGCCAATCCAGCAATGACCAGAGAGGGATTTCTCGGTTCATTGTTTCAGGAATATGCCAATATTGTGATTAATCATCTGTCTTGGTGTACTAAATGTTTACACTATCTGTTTTTCACATATAGTAAACTCAAATCAGACCTACTTTTAGACTACTTAATTCACTTTATTCTATTCTTTGAATGGCATTTAGTAATTGGAACATAATCAAAAACTCACTTTTATGGATAACAATTACTATGGTTTATTTCACTGCGACGTTTCAACAAGGTTTCACAAGTCGTTATCAAACATATACACAAATAGATAAAAATGAGAAAGATATGAATATATACAAACATCAGTGCGAACTATCCAATGGAATGCAAGGTGAGTGAGCATGCTTAGCTATAACAAGCTATTGATGTAACAAAGGTGCATAATCATATATATTAGAGTTGGCTTATTGTACAATTAAAAGATGAAAGAGGGGATTAACCGAGATTAACAAATATTGAAACCATACACATTGTACCATAACTGAAACCAGTATATACTAAGAAAACATTCAAGAAGATCAAACTGAGGGTTTATAGAATTATATCGAAACCATAATCTTTACTTTAATTATAACAGTTAAGAAATATAGAATTTTATGGTTGTGTTTTAAAGTTAAGTAATAAGTTGCATATATGTACTTAACGTAAAAATAGTTTGAACTCTCCATCGATCTCTCCCGGACAATGGCTCTCAGCTATTGCATAAACAATAATTTGGTTGATTTCTGCAAACGGTTGTATTGGAAATTATCAAGTTTGGACAAAATGTTGTGATAACATGTCATGTTATTTTTGAGTAAACTCATGCATAAAGTCTTTGGTTAACATAGGGATTATTCCGCCATTGAAAGTGAACCACCATGTCATCGTCAAACACCTGCTTCAATCCATTACAATTTACTTGATTAACATTATGATGTAAAACATATTGCTTTTACAACGAATCTTGTTTTCTTATATACACAGTAAGTCAATTGTATGACCAGGTACGAGTTTCATTGATAATATATAAACCATGTTTTGTATTTTTCAGCACCTAAATGTGGAGAATTATTTTGTAAACAATCTGGTTGATGTTGTAAAGAGAGCAAATATTATTATATTATATTAAATCAAATAAATTGAGATAATTAACCATTTATATAGATTGTAATATTTAACATAATAAATTATATTGTAATATTTAGACATTTCTTTAATTAAAATCTATTTAGTTCTTTCTTTATAAATTATAATTCTAAGCCAACTATATTCATCTTAATCAAGAATTACAATATATTAATATGTACTTCCTGAAAACAACTAGATACCAATAAATATAAGATATTAAAATATAACCTACATCGCAAAATAAACAGACTGTATGTTTAAAATTTCTTTGTTTGTTGTTTATTTTGTTTAATACATGTTACTGTGTTTGTCAGTCATACCTATCTTCTTTACTTTGGTAACACTAAATCGGCGTTGAGTAGACGGAAAAGCCACTGCCCGGGCAAAAATTCCCTAAATGGAACATCCTAATACAATAGAATCCGATTCATATATCTATATTATAATTTTGTTTTCAATATATTAGTTGAAGAATTGATATAAATATATTCATTGCATATGAAAACATCCAACAAAAAGAAAGAAAGTAAACATGAAATGACTAGAATATATATTAAAGTAAATGTACACTGGTTACAGTAACCTTAGTGGAACAGGTATATTTTATACCCCCACCCCCACCCCTTCTTTCTATCTTTACCTAACGTGCACTCAGTCGGAGATGATAGTCTGCAGAGTTACAGATTGGGTTTTTAACGAACGTATAAGTTCTTAACTGTAATGATTAGTAGAATCAGGCGGAAATCATACATTTGTTAGCAATGTGTTAAATTTGCATGTTAGGTTTTGTAAAATGATTTTTACCTATGTCAAAATGGAAGCTCGCCAAGACATTTTATATTTAGATTTAACAATATCGGCATCCAATTTAAGATTTGCGACGAGGAGCGCGTGGGTTGTGTCAAGGGTGCTTTGAATTTTGAGAAGTCTTTTATAGTACGCTAAACATGACTGTGATACTTTTATTGTAGCCTACCAAGTCCGTGTTGTTATGCTGGGAAATGTTGCCTACATCACTTTATTAATTGACTTATAGCTTACAATGTCCGTGACGTGTTGTTTTGATATGGTGTATAAATAACGTGTGATAAATACAGAAGGTGATAGGGGCGACAACTATAGTTTTGACAAAACGGGATCGGACTGATAATTCGGTCACCAGGTCACTTTGTAGCGACTCCTACATTTTCTTACAAAGGTACCTTTGCACCAGCCTAGACATTGAATAACATTTTATTTAGTGCTCAGGGTTAATGGATGTTGGTGATAGTTCCAGAGAACTCAATGTATATTCTACCCAAAAAGCTAATAATAACTCGTTTTCCGTTTCATTTAAAATTCGGAGGTTGGATGGCCGAATGGTTATCACGCGCGCGCGCTGTATCATAAGGCCTGTCATTGAGTCAACTGGCGTGGTTTAGAATCCCCGGTTGTACGTGACAAGGAGTATGGTCGCCTGTCCAACCACTGCTAAAGAGCCCTTCGCACAAGCAAATTATTGAAATAAAATTGTACCATATGTCAGTCCCAAAATGACCTAGTAAATATCATGTAGATGTTAAACCACTGTCTATTTTAATGTAGATCCAAAAACAATTGGGGTGCCTCCCATTCTTTTCAAATTACATACCCCGTAAAACTTTTAGCAGAAAAACTGTTATTCAGAAGACACAACTCTAAAAGTAAGTGTTAGCAAAATGTTGTGTTTTCGATGAATATTGTACGTGCTATCCTAAGAGTGTGTTAGAGTCAATCGACGGCATAGATCTACTTCTCAGAAGAGTGAAGCCTAGAGTTAAAGTTGTCATAATGAGGGCGTTCAATTGGCCGTCGTATTTGGGGGATGATTGGGTGGGGTCGATGTGGTTGCTAGCGGCTACATAACACTATCAAAATATAAAATAATAGAGTAGATGTGGATAGAGAGAGAGCGAAATGGGGTTTAACGTCCACTCGACACAAACTAGGTCATTTCGGGACTAATATATGGTTTAATTTTATTTACATAATTCGCTTGCGCGTAGGGGTCTTTAGCAGTGGGAGGAAACCGGAGGACCAGGTTTGCTTTATATACGACAGAAGAAATTAGGCCACATTATTTTACATAATATAGTATACGTATATCACTTATGTTACACAATTTATTAAATATTACCTATGAAATGTTAAGGTCAATCTTTGTACATCTATCTATAATGCCCTTAACATGATTAATTTCGTTCCAAGTAAACTTCTGAATTGATGATAAGGTTTGCTTTATTTACGATAGAAGACATACGGTCAGTATTCTTACTGCACCAGTCTTCAATAAACGTTTAAACCTTCATCAGAGTATATAATTTATTTGGAACTTTATATTATTTTTAGGTGAGTTAATATTTCGTATTAGTAATAATTTATATGTTGTATTATTCCTTTGTTATTTTAATAATAAAAGGTTACTATCTTTATATTACGCATAGTATGTGAAATGTTATATTGAGAATTACATCACGTGATATATGCAATTCCATACATAGTTATGCACATACGTTTAATATCAAACGTCGCATACAATTTATATTAATAATATTCGAACAATGCCAGACGTAAGGCACAGCTATATATATATGTTCTTTTGCTAAAGACATTAAATATATTTCGAATTGTAATTATGATGTCTAATGTATTCTGGGGGGGTTGGATGGCCGAATGGTTAGCACGTGCGTGCTGTATCATAAAGCCTGTCATTGAGTCAACTGGCGTGGTTTCGAATCCCCGGTTGTACGTGACAAGGAGTAGGGTCGCCTGTCCAACCTCGTGGGTTTTCTCCGGGTCCTCCGGTTTCCTCCCACTGCTAAAGACCCCTACGCGCAAGCGAATTATTGAAATAAAATTAAACCATATGTTAGTCCCGAAATGACCTAGTTTGTGTCGAGTGGACGTTAAACCCCATTTCTCTCTCTCTCTCTCTAATGTATTCTGAACCGTATTATAATAACTTCTCTTAACTTTTATTATTTATGCATATTGTTTAAATATTTTGTGTTCATTATATATGATTCTTACTGCACCAGTCTTCAATAAACGTTTAAACCTTCATCAGCACGAGGTTGGACAGGCGACCCTACTCCTTGCCACGTACAACCGGGGATTCGAAACC